TACGGCGATCCATGGAAGAGAAGTAACGGGCGTGTCGCAGGCGATCCAAGGAGTCATCAATACGAGGAAGAGGATATACGTCTTTTTTCGTTATCTTGTTCAGTTTGCGGTAGTCGACGCAGAATCGTAATGAACCATCTTTCTTTTTAACCAGAACAACTGGTGACGCCCAAGGACTAGTCGATGGTTGAATTACGTCGTCGTCGAGCATTTGTTTCACTTGATGACGGATAGCATCTTGCTCCTTCTGCGACACGCGGTAAGCATTATGGCGCACGGGTTACACGTTGGGCTCAGTGATAATTCTGTGCTTCATTAGAGGAGTCTGCCGGACTTTCGAAGTAGTGGCAAAACAGTCACTAAAGGATGAGAGGAGACTGAGGAGCCTTGCCCTCTTAGGTTCTTCTAACTGGCGATTGACCTTGAGGCGACTAATCACGTCAGTATCGGAGCTGTTCTCAGTCGAGATCGTCGTAATCAAATGGAAGGCGTCCAAATCATCCAATGCCTCCAAGTAAGCTATGGTTGTGCGTTTCGCAAAATGCGTGTGTTCGCCACCGAAGTTCGTAACTAAAACCGTAGTCTGGCCATTTCGAAGTTGAACAAGACTTCGAGCAATGGCCACTTCCCGATCAAGCAATAACGTCAGGTTACTTTTGGCGATGCCCGTAATCGACTGCTCCCGTGGACACTCAACAAGCACCCCGTGGACACTCAACAAGCACCCCACATACTACTGCGAGGTGGCAGCGTGACGCAATCATCGACTACGCCTAAGGCCACGCCACAATGCTTGTTCTCGATGTCGGAGTCTCGATAAACACAGTTAACAAAACTGACGAACAAATCACGCAGATTAATTATCGCTCCATACTCTTGTAGAAAATCCATGCCCAAAATGACCGGTTGAGAACAATTGGGCAGTACAAGGAATGCTGCACAAAAGCCGACGCACAAATCTCAAGCCTGGCGGTGCACCTTCCTATAGGGGATACGAGGTGTGCTCCAGCGGTGATTAGTTGAGGGCCGTCCCACGTTGTCAGCACCTTGTGTAGACGGGTGGCCAATGAAGCACTCATCACCGAGTAATCAGCTCCCGTGTCGACTAGCGCAGTCACCGGATAACAGTCAACGGAAACGCTAATGGCAGCGGACGTTCTGTTGGCGGTTTCACAAACAGGCTTTAACGGCACGTCGTAAGGCAGCGGCGGAGGGTATTTGTCGGTTCACGTGGCAGCGGCCTCACCTCCGGAGGTCGCCGTTTTCAGTTTCCCCGGCGTGGGCTTGCGCCACTGAAACCAGGGGACCCAAAGGCTGGTCGGGCGCGGTGCGTTGATGTGGACGGATGGGGTGATGGTGACCGTGACTGTCGTCGCGGCGGGACCGGAGCGTGATGACTACCTTCTAAGTAATCCGCAATTTCTTGTGGGCGCTCACCATAGCTTGGACAACGTGCATCTGGGTGGAATCCGCGTAGGCCTATTCGTTGGTAGTAACAGTCGCGGTACATGTGTCCAACTTCGCCACAATGGTAGCACAAAGGACGATTGTCGGGTGCACGCCAGACGGTGGACTTCCACGGGCCAGGACGAAAATCGGCCTGAGAAGGCAGGCGATGGGCTGGACTTGGAAAGCGTCTTGGTGTCCCAGCAGGTGGATGAGCAAAATGTGCCGTCGACGGCGTAGAGACGCGTAGGGAATCCGCGTAGGAAAGCGTGGGAGGTTCGACTTGCGATGGTGGTGAGGAGTGAACGAACTGCCTGATTTCGTTACGAACGACGACCGTAAGAGCAGCGCTACTGGGAGGGGACGCTGCATGAAATTTCCGAAGTTCTTCGCGTACAAATTGCCGTATGAGTTCTGTGAGGACCTCCCTGTTATCACCTCCTGGTACAAGCAAGCACGCAGTGGACATGGACGTCTGACGCTCATACTGCGACAACCGCTGCCGAAGCATGCGCTCTATAATTGTGGCCTCACGTATGAACTCGGACACAGTCGTAAGAAGGTTGCGCACAAGGCCCTCGAAAAGTTGCTCCTTTACGCCTCGCATTAACAGGCGCACTTTCTTGTCTTCTGGCATGTGGGGGTCAGCCCGTCGAAACAATCGCGACATTTCTTCGACAAACATGGCGTCGCTCTCGTTCGGCATTCGAAACCGCGAAGAAAGTGCCTGCTCCGCTCTCTCTTTCCGTTCGGGGTTACTGAACGCCTCGCGAAGCTGCTGATGGAATTCCTGCCAACTTGTGAATGAAGTTTCGTGGTTCACATACCACACTCTTGCCAGTCGTTGATGGTAGCGACCCAGTCGAAATGGTCAAGCTAGTCTTCGACATCCTCACCGGCATCACCATGGAATGGGTTGGGTGTACGAGGCGTGTTGATGACACAGGGTACGCTAGCGAGTGGGTCATGCTCGGTTTGGGTTGCGGATGTGGCAAACATTGTCCTCACGGAACTTGCCAAGGGGCCGTACTGTGGTGGTAGTCCTTGAAGGCGGCAGCTGCTTCGATAGATATCAGCAGACTCTGGTGCACTGGCGGTGGTTGCTTCTGGTTCAGGGCCAGCAGGTATAAGACGTTGCAGTACAGTACCCAGCACCTCCACCAGTCTGTCGCGAGAAGAAACGATAGACAGGAACTCGAAGTGGAGGACTGTTTACTCAGCCACAGCTGCCATTCACTTCTTCGCTCTCGTCTTCTACCACCAACACAGCGTGGCAGCGTATATATATATATATATATATATATATATATATATATATATATATATATATATATATATATATATATATATATATATATATATATATCGGAGCCTCCCTCTTCCCACTAGCGAAAGAGTTGGTACGCCACTGCACTCGCCGATCTACTCAAGCAGAATATCTAATAAACGTTTTATTCTCTCTCTCTCTCTCTTTACAATGACCAACTTCTTCCCACTGTAACAGGCACAAACAAGTGTGCAGAGCATTGGGCATAAGCGCCAAGCGCATTGACGTCACACATAGTCGGAGCAGCTACGGCGGCGGCGGTTGTCGGGGGCGGAGAAGCGGTATAGATGGGGCGTCCACTGCAAGTATGCCACTGCACAAAGGGCTCGTGCTGCTGCGTGTCAACGAGGACAATTCCGAAGGCGAGACGTTACTGAGTCAAGGATGTGGAGTCTAGGAAAGCAGCGCACTTTATAAAATACACACGAAGATAGAAGTGCTCGCATGAAGCCTTTAAAAGGTCAATGTAATGAAAAAAAGAGCACTTGCTCGTTGTGGCTCATATTCTTCTTACACTAGCCAGGTTTTCGCTTCTTGCGATACAAGCGGGTATACATCTACCGAATATTTTGCTGCCCTGACGTTTTCACCATGATGTTTTTTCTCTGGCATTTCTCCGCGTTACGCAGCAACAAAGAAAATACCACAGAACAATGGGACACCGCTTTGCGCTTTCTTACATTAAAGTGACAATTATGGGTGGCCCAACGGGCCGGCGAAGTGGCTGAAAGGCTAGGTCTTTCGATGCCAACCTGGGAGCGGCCCGCTTTGGGCTAGGACACTAGCACGACCTATAGGACCTTAATAAGTTCTTTCATCCATCCATCATTCCATTTTGCTCTGTATACTTGGATTATTTACCCCATGCAATTCAGAGGAGGAAGCAAACACAGACAGACAGACAGACAGACAGACAGACAGACAGACAGACAGACAGACAGACAGACAGACAGACAGACAGACATGCATACATACATACATACATACATACATACATACATACATACATACATACATACATACAGACAGACAGACAGACAGACAGACAGACAGACAGACAGACAGACAGATAGTAGTTGCGATGATGTCTTCCAAGTTCGGTTCGCTGGTGCGTAATGTGTCCCGTAACGCTGGGCACATCCAGAGCATATGTGCTAAACGCCTCCCCGCAATCCGGGCACTGTGGATCGATGTCTCGGTTATCCGGCTTAGGAAACATATCGAAGGATATGACCTCGTCTGAAGTGTTCTAAGCGTGATTGCTTGAGCTCTGCACCTCCAATTTTCGCTTCATTCAAATAATGTCTCCACTTCCCAAGTTAAGCAAACAAGTATATTTTCGAGTGCAAGAGATGGAAGGTTAACGCGGCAAGCGTGACGGAACAGGTAATGTTTACCCCTGAATAGTCTCGTTTCTTCAAGCGTTCACCTCAACCGTATGCATGCAGAAGCGACAATAGCACATACAGAATGCACCGGTTTCCCTCAAAAAGCAGCCGCAGGTGCTCGCGAGAGTGTGGCGGTAGACTTCTGCCAACGACGTATATCCATCACGCACGCTGGATGGTTCCGCTTTGGCAGGAGGACCGCGACGAAGTTCGCGTGGCGCGGCAGCATCCACGGCTGGGTGGCAGTGCCAGCCGAGTCAGCAGCAGCGGAAGCAGCCGCTGTCAACGGCGCGGCTCGCGCTCATCGCTTGTGTCACGCGCAATTTCCCTCGCGCGGCCGCCTTTTTGGCTCCGCACCAGATGCACGCGCGCCCGTACCACCTCTTTTTCGAGACATCGATCAGCCGACCACTCATCACCCGTTCCGCGCTCCCCGCGAGGGGCACGTGTTGGCGTTTCCTACCGAAGCTATAATAAGTTTCCTGGCACAACACCCACGATACATATATCTCGCAGATATTCGAGATATCTGCTGAATACCCCCGTTTGCGTGCTGGAACCCTATATACAGCACGCCACACTCCTATAGCTCATAGCTTCAGCATTCTCAGTCAGGTATATATCAATGAAAAATGCCTCATCATTCCAGTCACTGTCATGCTTCTGTAAACTTGAAATACGCATATCATGTCATGCAGGAAGCTCGCGCTAATGTCACTGTGACTCCTTTTACAAGTTTCACGTAGGCTATTAAGGTTTGTAAATGTGCACTATCAGAATAATCGATTCCGTCTGGCTCCCGTCGATGGTAAATAACTTATGTGTCTGTTTCCATGGTGTTGGAGAATACTTCAAGTATAAGTTTATTGCACTTTTACTGTAAGATCCTGTAACATTTTAGCCTTCGGGAATAGGCAGAAGAAGAATGAAGAAGGCGTTGTATTTCAGAGGGGGGGCCCTGACTGAAAGCCCTTTGCACGTAAGGCCCATTTCGTGGGTCATACCCTGTGTGTGGTGACGTTGTTTCTTTAGCCTTCATAATATACTGCCCCAGGCTAGAGCATCGTTTATTGGAAACACAGCTGCGCTACTAAACACGAACTTTTCCACTTTCACCTGTTTCTCAACTGATCGCGCCACTGCCGCCCTCTTGCGGCTGTCATGTCCCGAGTCAGTGAGCACTCTTTGGCAGTTCTGTGTAAAGCGTGCACCGGGCCTTTGCGTGTTTGATTGTGGCCGCCAATGTCGTCGTTGTCGATGTGTCGCACTCGTTTTCAGCTACTAACACCATCGTGCCGACCCGTGCAGGGCCGGCGGCTGAGGCAGCAGTGAGGCAGCGCAATGCCAAGGGGCCTGAGCCGGAAGCCTCGCCAGCTGAGCGACCTGGTGCGGAGGAGGAGGCGGCGGCGCGGCCAGCACAGGCTGCTCGCTGGCCTCCCCGCGGGCCACGCGCTGCGCGCTGCGCTCGTTGCGCCGGAACTTGGCTCGCCGGTTCTGGAACCAGACCTGCGACATGGGGGCGTCATCAAACAGTATCGTTCAAGGGCAGAGCATGAAAGCCATCCTAAAGCACCGCAAGTCTCGTACATGCTTTCAAAACAGAATGAAACACGTTCTTGGGAATATTTTCTCGAACTACATCTTTCCTTGTGAATATATTCTTTCAAAAAAAAAATATGCGACCAACGTAACAAAAATGCAATAAAGGCTGGTTAACGATTGACTCCTCAGAGATCTAGATATTCCGTCTAGCTAATTAATGCCTAGGGTAAATAAGTTGGAGGAGAGATGTAAGTGGGAACACTGCACTTATCAATTGCAGGAAATGTCCGTATGGCCGCTGCCTTAAGCCCTTAGTCACTTGTACTTATGCTTGCGTTGTCACAATTGAAAATACGCAGCCGATTTCCAGCGCTGACAAAGCTTAGTGGCTTCTACATATATCTATGACAAATAGCACCAGTGTTCTATGGAGCCTTCCTGCACACACGATACGTAGTACAATCCTAAATTTTGTCACAAATTTTGAGAAGGGTACACGTCATAACCGGGTGCGTTCACTGGATTTTATGAAGTGCACAAACCATTGGCTCTGACTAAATTCGATTGCACACTCACCAAGTGCGCGGGAAAATTAATATAACTTCTGTTTTTAATGATCCTGCAAAAAATAGCTTCTCGCTGATTATGACAGATATCTACATATCTTGCCGCTGTTGTCGAGCGAAAATGCTCTCGAGTACCCCATCTTTGATAAATGAACGTTACTGAAATACTGAAACACACTGCATACTGTATACCTCTTGAATCTGAAGAGAGAATATTTCTTTAGACAGTGCATTGAAGAAGTTTGTCTTACTTTATGAACATACACAATTAGCAGCGGATATCAGTAAATATGCATTATTCTGTTTAATGAATAATGGATATCCTGAAGTTTATGCAAGCCTTCGGGTGCTACCCCCCCTCCCGAAATTTGGGTGGAAGGAAGTGTTTTACCGAGGGCAAAGTATAAATACAGGTGGTTTTGAAAAAAAAAAACCTTCACCAAATGCAACCCCCCCCCCCCCAAAAAAAATTAGTACCACTGCGCACTATTCATGATTACTTACAAGGTTTTACCCAAAGTTAGCGACTCGCCCGAAAGTTAGCGAGTCGCTAACTTTTGGTTATGACAGGTAGATTGCCACTACCCTCAAGAGGAAGGTATATAAGAGCTGCATCTTGCCGGTACTTTGCTATGGAGCAGAAACCTGGAGACTTACAAAGAGAGTTCAGCTTAAATTAAGGACCACGCAGTGAGCAATGGAAAGAAAAATGGTAGGTGTAACCTCAAAGGACAAGAAGAGAGCAGAGTGGATTAGGGAACAAACGGGGGTTAAGGATATCAAAGTTGAAATCAAGAAGAGGAAATGGATATGGGCCGGGCATGTAGCGCGTAGACAGGATAACCGCTGGTTAATAAGGGTAACTGACTGGATTTCCAGAGAAGGCAAGCTGGTTAGGCGAAGACAGAAGGTTAGGTGGACAGATGAGATTAAGAAGTTTGCGGGTATAAATTGGCAGCAGCAAGCACAGGACCGAGCTAATTGGCGGAACATGGGAGAGGCCTTTGTCGTGCAGTGGACGTAGACAGGCTGATGATGATGATGATGACAAGGTGTTCACGTAACTTTAAAACAAAATTTCAAAAATAAATCGCGGTACATCGTGTCATGATGTATGAAGCGGTATGTACTTCACAGCGGCTTCTATTTGTTCATAGTCTTTGTCGTGGGCTTAAGTTACCTTATGAGATAAGATACTTTAACGTGATAGCGTTAAAGAGTTCGTTTCGTAGAAATTCTGGTGTCGGGTTCATTGGTTGTGGACCAAACACCAGCGTGGTCTGGGAGCGAAAATTAGATATAAATGCAAATTATCAAATATTTGGTACCAGTGAGAATCGAACCCAGCACTTTTGCGTGGCCACTGGCAAGTCGATTTTCTGCCGCAGAACCACACCTATGCTTTAATGGTTCGTGGGATAAAGCCTTATACGAATGCCATCTCGTGCGAAGAGTCTCCCCAATGCATGTATTATTGCATGGCAAAAGCGTTGATATGAGCCAGTCGCCAAAATATGTGAATTGCGCATCGCTCATTACAAAACACTCAGATATATTTTAGATGCATTTCTTTGCGTAATGAAAGCACTTTTGCCATCTATCTATCTATCTATCTATCTATCTATCTATCTATCTATCTATCTATCTATCTATCTATCTATCTATCTATCTATCTATCTATCTATCTATCTATCTATCTATCTATCTATCTATCTATCTATCTATCTATCTATCTATCTATCTATCTATCTATCTATCTATCTATCTATCTATCTATCTATCTATCTATCTATCTATCTATCTATCTATCTACTATCTATCTATCTATCTATCTATCTATCTATCTATCTATCTATCTATCTATCTATCTATCTATCTATCTATCTATCTATCTACGTCTGGGTGCTCTCGGAATCTCCCCCTTATGTGCTTGCGTTTTTCTGCTTGACTGAATGTAATACCATGCAATAACAACCTTATACCCGCGAAATATGATAAGTGATAGTTATAGGATCATATTTTGTCTTTCATGTATAGGTGGCGATGTCAAAAGAAAACAAATGGCTGACAGATGAAAAAAAACACGAGCTAATCGTCCTTCCGGATGGAGAATTGTCCAATTTAGATTTTGACAGCCACCTGGATGACCCCGAAAATGAACCTAGAGTTGATGAGGAAGTGATCGATTCCTGTCCGCTCAAACTTGTGATAAATCTTCATGATGACAACAGCCGCAAGAAGAAGACAAAGAAATGCCAAGCGACCTTGTTGGAGTTGTTTTGGGATCATCTCGCCACTCGGTGGCGCAGCGCAGAAGGAAAAAAAGAAAGCGTTCAGAGAAAATGGGAAAAAAAAGACCTTATGATTGATGATACAGCCAATGGAAGGGGGAACTTCCCTTATCACCCGAAGATGTCTTAAGTCCATGCTAATATTTTTGTAGCTTTTTTGATGTAGAGATGGTAGAAATACTGTGCTATCAGTCAAATTTGTATTCTACCCAGAAGAACAAAACCTGCGTAAACATCAAGAAAGAGCGGATGAGGAAATATCTTTCCATGTTAGTGATTTCAGGGACAGTCAGAGTGCCTAATTTTTAGATGTTCTGGCAGTATAGAACAAGATTTGCGCCTGAAGCAGACCTGATGCTAAGAAATCGATTCGAAGCCATACATCAATCCCTACACATGAAGTACGATCACTAGGCAAAACCACGAGACACTGAGACCCATGACTGCCTTTGAAAGGTGCTACCGCTTGTAAACCAGCTCAAGAACGACATGATTTAGGTTGCTCCAGAAGAACGGCAGAATATTGACGAGGAAATAATTCCCTCCAAGGGGCGCTCACCCTTAAAGCAGTACATTAAATCGAAGCGCCACAAGTGAGGCTATAAGGTGTGTACAAGGGCAGGTGTCTCCGTCTCCGGAATCTGAAAGATCTTCCGGAGAACAGGAACCACAAGCTATTTTTTGATAATTGATTCGGCAGTCTGTGCTTGGTGGACGAGCTGAAGCGCAAAGGATTTCTTAGTTCTGGCACCATCTGGTCGACAGGATGGAAATGTGTCCGCTAGCACCCTACAATACTCTCAAGGCGCAAGGCAGAGGCTCAGTCGATTTTCGCGTGAACGAGGGATCTAACATACCAGTCACCAAATGGTGTGATAGAAACTCTGCCCACCTTGTGTCAAGCTATGCTGGTGTCCAACCAACGGACATTTGCAAGTGGTGCAACAGAAAAAAAGCGCAGCGTCGATGTCCCACGCCCTTTCACCGTAAAGGAGTACACAGTAAAATTTTTTACACCCTTATGGGTGTAAAAAGGGTGTTTTGCAGATTTACATTCTTTTTGAATGAACGTAACACCCTTTTCTTTGCTGGTACACCCTCAGAGAAGGGTGTAACTGGCAAAAGGGTGTTATTATGCCGTTCGTGAGGGTGTTGAAGAACAGAAGGGTGTACACCTATAATTGTTGGAATAAAAATTGTTCCTTTTAACGTCCCAAAGTTATCATATCATTAGAGACGCTGTACCGAAGGGCTCCGAAAAGTTAAACCACCTGGGGTTACTTAAGGTGCGCCTAAGCCTGACTACACAGGTCTCGCACTCTTTCTCGTCCATTAAAAATGTGGCCGCCGTGAACTGCCGGGATTCGATCCTGCGACTTGTGGGTCAACAGTTCAGCACCATAAGCACCAGACCACCGGCGCTGGAGTGCACGTGCAAGAATCAAGCTGCATCCATGCTTGCAAATAAAATACCACGCATAGCGAGAGGAATGCGTGCCTTTCCTAAAATAACAATGTCGTAAGGATAAAAAAAATCAAGGAAATGATTGAGGCATTGACAAACTTTACACAACACTAAGAATAATTGAGAAAATGTAAAAGAGACTAACTTCTCTTCGCACTGTATGATTCGACATGCTTTGCCGCTTTATATCGTCCACATTATATGTGAATAAATTAATGGGCTACTGTCACGATCTACGGACAGCACATATTCATGTGTAGAAGCAATTGAGAAAAAAAAAGCTTGAATTTATTACAAAAAACCCTTGCTCCGTCAAAAGCCGTTCGAGTGCAAGTTGTTTTCACAAGATTATCGAAGACGAGACGTGCTTGGTCGAAAAAGAAAACAATGCACTACCTTCTGCAACCATGCGGGAGCACGGGAAGTGGTTCTTTAGGTGAAGAAATAAAGGTCAGAGAATGGCACGGTCAGTGCACGCAGCGCCTTTGCGAAGCGAAGGGGAGAAGGGTACGAGAGGAGGGAGAGACACGCCTTTCGCCCCCCCCCCCAAGCACACATATATATATATATATATATATATTGTGGGACACTGCGACCCACGCCGTAAAATTTGTATTTGCTATCTATTCTGTTTGACATCCC